TTTCCCTTTGGCGCAGATGTCATGAAATTCAACAAGAATAGAGGATTTTTTCCTTAATTGGAAAATTTTGTATTCTGTTTAATACTTGATAGACAGATGATATGCCTCAGTGGTCCATAATCCTTTCTTTTGTTTACTATTGTTTGTTATTAATTCTGTTTTTCTGTTTTTTATTTTTGTCTGCAGGTTTTGTGTTTTTTCTTCTTAGTCTACTTTTCGTAGTTCTGCATTTTTTAAAGAACTTTTCATCAAAGAAATAAAACTCCTTGAAAATTGAAATGTACTTTCAAGCCTTTCCTTCAAAAACGTAACAGAATTTGAGGAAGATAGAAGATACCAATACTAATAGCATTTAGGCTTATACACTGACCCATAGTGTTTATAGCATTCTCTGGATGGCTTATAATGTTGAAGCATTATTTGCATATTGCCCCCAACAATCTAGGTCCTCATTTTACTGACCGTGGAAGGATGAGTCAGCTGTCAGGATCAAACTCCAGGCTATGTGCCTGCAATACTGTATTCTAACTACTGCGCCATCAAGGCTGTTTGCACTTATGAGAGTCTTCCAAGTGGAAGGGCCTTTCCCATTTTTAAAGTAGAACGTCAAACGGGGTCTTCTGCTTCTATGAGTACTTCCTGGAGATATGACTGTCCTTTTCTTTGCATTGAGGCGTACAGTGTTTCAGGACCTAGTTTTTCAGGAATGATTCCTGCCACCAATTATTCTGGGGTTCAGATGAAACAAAAACCCCAATGGGGCAAGTCAGGAAAGGTTGGTGCATGCTGCCCCCACTTGCCCTTCCTCCAGCAGCTGCCGGAACAGAGTGCCACACCAACCTACCTATTCCATGACCTTCCCAGTCCTAAGCTACCTGTTAAGTAACAGGCATGTTTTTATTGAAATGTTATACATGCATTAGGGACGCGGTGGTTCAGTGGCTAAGATGCAGAGCTTGTCGATTGAAAGGTCGACAGTTCAGCGGTTCAAATCCCTAGTGCCGCGTAATGGGGTGAGCTCCCGTTAACTTGTCCCTGCTTCTGCCAACCTAGCAGTTTGAAAGCATGTAAAAAATGCAAGTAGAAAAATAGGGACCACTTTGGTGGGAAGGTAACAGCGTTCTTTGCGCCTTTGGCACTTAATCATGCTGGCCACATGACCACGGAGACGTCTTTGGACAGCGCTGGCTCTTCGGCTTTGAAACGGAGATGAGCACTGCCCCCTAGAGTCAAGAATGACTAGCACATATGTGCGAGGGGAACCTTTACCTTTACCTTACTTATACATGCATAGTATCCAATCATGTGTCATAATTATGGACTAATACCCCTCCTCCACAGTATTTATCAAGTCCAAATATTCAAACTTTAGTGAGAATTAAAGGGTGTGTTGCATTTTTGCAGCCTTGCAAATTGATCAGCAAAGCACAGAAAATGTTGTCATTGTGTATGAGGAACTCCGTTTTGAGCCTCAGACTGAACTGCTCCACCTATTTCCTTTTGAGGTTTTGCTGCAGTAAATAATGTCAGTGAAATAACAGATGTGGGGAGTTCACAATATGATGAAGTCCATTATCTGATAATACCTGCTGTGTATGTATCTCTTTAACCTTCTAGGAAATGCAGATTTTAATTTAGTTAACAATATTCTTGTCTTAAACTGTCCTGCCTTTTTCTTTTTAAGTACGTAGGGTAACATGAGATGAGATCTTCAGTATATAGCCATTATTTTGAAAACCTATAATTTTGAACTCTATGTAATGCAAGCTGGAAAGAGTTGGCATGTCTTATGGGAGCCTTTTCTGCATAGTTTACTAACAATTGAGAACAGTTAATTTTGTAATTTGCAAAACTGCTGTCTAGTTGACCCTTTGGAGAAGACCCAAACAACCAGGAAAATCTACCAGCATACATTAATTCTAGGCAAATGCGAATCAGATTGTGAGTAATGCTTGGAGACCATCTGCCCATATCTTAATTTTTACTGTATTATCATGGTTTGTAAACACTAAATCTATTAGGAAAAATGAGAAGGTCATTTGTAGCTTTTTGAAAATCTTTGAGCAAAACTTCAGCAGTGTATTTGTAGTTCTGTTCTTGTGAATTGGGATGCAGTGTTGAGAAGACGTAGCTGATATCGGATTGATGTAACTAAACTTGAGTATTATGGTCAATTGTTTCGGCTTTACTAGTAATCAGGATGATCTGGACACAGCTGCTCTCTGTGTGTTCAGGAGCAATATTCAGTCAGATTTCCTGACCGTGTGGAAAGTAGCTGCATATGCATTGGGTTTTCATTTGGGAAAAGTAAGGAAGATCAGAGAATATTATTTGACGTCCTTATTTCTGGGGAATTAAACTCCTTAGTAATATTTGCTGGAAAGTCTGCTTTTATGCACCAGCTATTTCATGCATAATAACTGGAAATGGCTGAGTAAACAGCATGCTCACTCCTGAAGCCAGTTTAACAAAGCACAGTCTCTGGTTGGTACAAAGAGTGCATCAGAGTAGTAAGACATATTGTGATGTAAAGTGGCCATTCGCTCAGCAGTGACTGGTTTCCTGTTCTATGTTACAACACAAAAGTACCAATCACATTTTAGCTTAATCTAGCAGAATGCACAAACTCGGTCTCTTTTTGTCACATAGGAACCGCTCCTGCAAATAAACATTGTAGATAGATGAAAATTCCTGTTTTCTTAGTGCTTCTACTTTATATATATATTTTAAAAAATTAAAATATATTACCTATTTCTAAATGTAACGTGACTGTATTAAATTTGATTTTCTCCAAATACTTTCCTGTTGTGTGGGGCATCTAATCTGCTGAGTTAGAAGTGGTGATCCTTGATATTTAAAGAATGCACATACAATAATCCTACTCTTGATTACGTTATCTTGAAGCACATTATTTTTTTTTTCTCTGCATACTGGAATATGTAGCTCTGCATGTGTCTGTATTCCAATTGTAGGAATTCATGTAATATACAGTGTAATTTAGATAGCATTCTTAGGGTTTTAAATTTAATTATGCAATTTAACAATGCTGATTTTGCTTGCTCCTGCAGAATGACATCTGTATAATTTGTGTGTACGCTGATGTGTCTCTGTAGTTTAACTGACGTAATTATGTGATGGTTGGTGGAACGGCTAAAACAGTGTTGTTTTGTAAACTATCCTTACAGTTCTGACAAATATTAATTTTGTCGAACTTGAAAACAGCTTTTAAATTTCTTGAGGAGAAAGAGAATCAAATACCAGTAATTATTATTTCAGGATATACTCCAAGCAGTTATTTCTCTGATTTTTCATTTTTTAAAAAGACATTTCTATTCTTCATTTGTAAATGAACAAACGTAATACAATAGTGTGAAACTCATTCATCATTCATGTCTTTTCTGTCTTAAGAATTAAGAATTAATTTCTAAAATAGCCTACCTTTTGATTAAGAGGAAAAAGGACATTCATTGAATATAAAATAATACCAATTATAATTAATTTTAAACTACTTCATCTAGTCCATACACTTGTCCTGAAGTAGACAACTTATTTACCTTATTTAGGTTTTGGTGTAATTTATTTTGATTTATATCTTGCGTGACAACAGTGTACGAGACATTAAAATAGGCATACAAGTTTAGAAGAAACATACAAGAAATTAGAAGAAAGGGAAAAACACTAGACTGAACCAAAAAAGGGATTGGGGGGTTGAGGATGAGGGAATAGTCAAAGGAATTTTAAAAATAAATAGTGTCATTAAAGCAAGATATGAGAGATAAAAGCCTAAGAACTGTTTTTAAGTGACTTGTCTAGTTGTAAAAATATCATGAAGATAGGCATCATACAAATATTCCTGAGAACAAATCCCTGTAGGAGTGACATCATCATTGAAGAGGCCTTTTCTCTGAAGCTGTTATCTGCACATCTGATAAAAGAAAGCCTGCTAAAATGCATTTGTAAATCAAAATGAGATTTGGGGGGGGTGGCTTCTGTAAATTTTTTTTTTTAAAAAAGATGCAGCTGCTTTAATGAATAGAGCGGGGCTGTGCTTACTTACGATTCAAAGCACTTCTTAATCATTTTCAAAGTGTGCGGAGCCTTAGTAGCTAAGTGTAGCAACTGTCCCTGCTTGTTTATTTCTTCCAACCAAATGTAAAATGGCTTTGTGCTTCACTTTGCTTAGCGTTAGCAGCAAGGGTGAATTGTAGCCAATGGGTTGTTTCTGTTCAGACAGGCAAGTGCCTTAAACCAGGAATTATCCTTAGGAGAAGAGCAACCAGTTTCTTAGAAAATAACTGATGTTAAACACATGGGAGGAGTTCCACTTTGATCAGTGGTATTCCCTGTCAGGAATAATCAATCAGAAAAATTTAAGCAGTGTGCATTGCATTGGCATACATATTCCTTTCTAATAATGACTGCACGTGAATGCAGCTATAGTGTCAGGGCTTCCCGCCTCAGAATGGGACAACTTGTCACAGCCAACTTACCATGGTCAACTCACCACGGGACAAATCCAGTGGTGGGATTCACCGGTTGTAACAGCCGGTTCGCGGCGCTCGCTTCGCTCACCCGCATGCCAAACATGCGCTTCCGCGCATGCTCAGTACGATCGAAAATTGCCTTCTACTGAATCCAGACTGAGTAAAACAGCTGAGGCGCGGCAATCAGCTCTGCTGTGCCTATCACCTGGGCTTAAAACAAAAGAAATATAGGTAGGTTATAGCGCAGGGGAGGGCAGCCGGCCCATCTGATTGCCGGAGCGAACCGGTTAGTTCTCAGCTGATTGTCGGAAGTACCGGTACGCCTGAACCAGTCAGAACCGGCTGAATCCCACCCCTGGACAAATTGCCATGGCCAACTCGCTATGGGAAAATTCAACAATTTAATTTTCTTTAATAATTAAATTTTTTTTTAATTTTGTCATTGACCTTTTATTTTGACCCTTCTTTGGCATCCTTTCATTAATGATTCTATTTGACTATTTCCCTCGATATTAGTGTAACTCTTGTCCCGTGGCGAGTTGTCCTCCAGCGAATTGACCATGGTGAGTTGGCTGAGCAAGTTGGCCATGGCGAGTTGGGCAAGGTGAGTTGTAATAGACCCTTCCCGCCTCTATTGAAATGTGTTCCTACACCTGTTTTCTGATTTAGTACAAAGAAGGTAGGTAGATTTGCTCTGTGCTCAGTCCTGTGGTTTTGCTTGGCCTTATTAAACGTGGGCAAAAGCTTCCACTGACAGTTGTAATAAATGTAACTGGCATTGAGAACTGTAAACAGAAGAATTTCAGCTGCTTTGGTCACTTGTAAATCATCTTCTTGTCCACAGCCTGAATACTGCAGCTGTTAACTTAGGTTTCTCTGTAACAGATTTAATGAGGCACTTCCTTTTGTTCTAACAGATAAGCGTCTATTTCGCAACTAACAAGTTAGCTTCACAGTGTTTGTGGCTCTGCAGTGTTGACCACAACTTCCTTGCATCTCTTCAGATGCTATATAATTTGGACATGCATTTCCTAGGCTATATGTGTATCTTCAATGAAAGTTTCTGCTAAGTTTGTTTTGTTTGCGCTATTATCTGCAGCCGATACAAGAAAGGCCTTAAATTTGAATATCATATATGTTGCATTTCTTTCTTTTCTGTTTAGTCACTTTGCTACTGGAAAAACAACCAGAAATGTTTTAACAAAAAAACAAGTGGAGAACCTGTGAGCCTCCAGAGCAAGGATGGGCAATTCTGGCCATTTTATGACCTGTGGATTACAACTCCCAGAATTCTTGAGCTAGCTATGCTCAGGAATTCTGGGAATTTAAGTCCACAGATAGTACAGGAACCATAGATGCCCACCCCTGCTCCAGAGGTTGCTGAAGTAGCTGCTTAGTAGCATTTCCCATTTGCTTTGCAAACCGGGATTACTGGGAGTTATAGTTCAGCAATCTCAGGAGACATGGATTCCACTTGTAGCATTTTAAAGAGATGCCACAATCAAATTCTATTTCAGTGTGTAGTGAAATAAATATAGTTGTGTCCTACTTTCCATCTATTGCTGTTCTTATGTTGGTAGTGTACTGAATACACATAAATATAGTAAATAAATGAAACAATAGCTAGAGGAGAGAATGTATTTGATCTCACACAGATTTAGTCTCTCTTAACTCTAATAAAGTTGGTTATCAATAAGGCAGTCTAGTTTTACATTCATTGTATGACAGGATGGAATGGAAGCTTATTGGGTGTCTTTGAACAAGCCATACTCATTCCAACTTACGTAACAGGCTTGTTACGCTGGAGAAAAAAATATAGGAGGAACTAATGTGTATACCACCTTGAACGTCTGTAGAAAACGATATGAAACTAATGAAATTAACATCTAGCATGAAAAGTAGAAATAACAAGCATGAAATATCTGGACAGATACTTTAACTTAATCACTGCTGGTGTCACAACCATATGGTCCATAAATAGTGATCACTTCTGCCCATCCTGACTTTGAGGCTGCTATCTAATTTAGAGGTCTTCAAACTTGGTGGCTTTAAGACTTGTGGACTTCAACTCCCATAATTCTATGGGATAGCTCCCATAAGCTATGCTTGCTGGGGAATTCTGAGAGTTGAAGTCCACAACTCTTAAAGCTGCCAAGTTTGGGGACTCCTGATCTAATGCTTTTTTTGGGGTAAAGTATAGAAGGCATGGATTAGGTCACCAATTGTAGTTGTACAATATCTGCAACTTTTCCTGCTAATGGTATGAACAATTTTGACAGCTTATTTTAAAAGGGAATCTGATAGTGAATATATGTGTTTTATGTTGACTGAGAAAATTTTGGCAAGACTGATGATCAATTTCTTTGTATATATGCTGTACAATGACAACAAATGCTATACTCTGCGAACGAGGTAGAAGTCTAAACAGTCCTCTGAAGGAAACTGTAAAATCCCCATTAGTTGTATAGAAGAGGTATCACATCAGGGTTGTGTTTGACCTCGGTGGGGGCTGGAATGGGTGTGGCCAGCTTACTGTCACTCGTGTCGGGGTACCTGTGGTGGCCCGAGCGATCTGTCAGAGAAAACAGACTCCCGAGCTCTGTTTTCCGCTGCAAGGGCCTCCTGCAACCCTTTGCCAGTGAAAACAGAGCATGGGAGGGCTGCACGCGGCCTTCCCGAGTTTTGTTTTTGTTGGCAGAGGCACTGCGGGCCAGTCCCTCACTGTTTCCAGGGTGGCCCTGCGGGCTAGATCTAAGCATCCCGTGGGCCGAATCCGGCCCCCTGGCCTTGTGTTTGACACCCCTGTTGTATAGGGTAGCACAATCAGTGACAGTGACAAGCTCCATTTTGTTTCTGTGAATAAGATCTTGGAGCAGAAAACTGTACTTTATGATTCCCGTCTGAAAGCCAGTTCACTGTATCTATAGAGTTTTGAGATCGACAATGCAGAAATCTGCATGGCTGTTATATAGCAGCAAAGAGTTAAAAAGTGTGTGTCTCTTATCAGTCTCTTTGCAGATCACCTGAGTTTTGGCAGACTGGATGTGGTAGTTTTATTATTTGTATTAAATGTAACTGGGGCAACTGAATGGGTGCACCTATTCACATTAGAAGCTCCTGTGAATTTGCAAAGTGGTTCAAATAATGCTGTCTCCCAAGTTGAACAGGTGTATCACCATGGGAATAAAATCATTGTTTAAAATAAGTTGGTTCTTTGTGTTATTGAAAGTATCCCTCCAGGAGCTTTTACGTCTTCATTTTGCTTTGTATTACTTTGGAGAATAGGGACTCAACCCAACTGTTGTTTGGAAGTCTTATTTTCTCTGTGAAGAAATTCAGTGTAAGAAGTGTAGGGCCAGCGGTGAAATTCAATTTTTCTTACTACTGGTTCTGTGGGCGTGGCTTGGTGTGGCTTGGGTGGGTGTGGCAAGAGAAGGATACTGCAAAATTCCCATACCCTCCCCACTCCTGGGAGAAGGATATTGCAAAATCTCCCTTCCCACCCCACTCTGGGGCCAGCCATAGGTGGTATTTGCTGGTTGTCCGAACTACTCAAAATTTCCGCTACCGGTTCTCCAGAACCTGTCAGAACCTGCTGAATTTCACCCCGGTTAGTGCCCTTGGATATTGCATTCAAGTCTTCTTAATCCTTAGCACAACCAATATGGTTTTTTAAAAAATGGGAAGGATGAAGGAATCTGAACGTTATATTTTATTTATTATGTGGACTATTCTTTGTTTTATTTGCAGAAGCCACCCAGAGTCACATTCAAATGAGTTGGGCAGCTATGTAAATTCCATTAATTTTTAAAAGCTCTTTAGTCCAAGACTAAATTCCCATACTCTACCGCAGACCTGGGTATGTTATGACTCCCAGGCCACATTCGTTCATTTGACTGTCCCTGTCTGACCTGTGTGAAGTCAACAGGAAATTGGGAATCAAATGTAAATAGCTGTATGGCATGCATACAATATAACTGCATTGCTTTTATTTTGAAGGCAACTCCTTTTTTCAGTTTACACATGTACATGCATGTGTTATGTGCCTATGCACCTTTACAAACTTATTCATTCAGTTTTCTACAACAATACCGGTTTCTCATAGGAAAATTAATTGCCCACCCCTGGTCTACCAGATTCCCTTAAAGTCTTATTGAAGCCTTTTATTTCTGTAGTATCCATAATTGATTATCTCTACAGGTAACTGACAACGTTTATTGAATCTTCCCCTTTCCTCTCTTTGATTTGGCTCAATTCGCACATCAAACCAAACCAGTTTCTTCTCAACAGGCACAATAGGTAAACATTAACATCATCAATATTACTAAGTATTCTAGAAGCTGAATTCCACAGATTTGGAAGGCACCAATATTTGGAAGTTTGTGCTAATGTATAATTTACATTTCTTGTCTAGTGTAATGTGTGAATTCATCCACTGGTTTGTAAGCCATAGTTTAAGACTTGATGTGAAGACTAATCACAGCCCAATCCCCCCCCCCCCCGGTTTTTCTAATCGTCCTTCCTCTTGCCAGATTGATGAAGCTGACACTTCAGTGGCTCAGCCTCCTACTGAACCTGGTGAATTGGGAATTTGATTCTTATTATCATTCCAGAAAACAGCCTTTTTCTAAACCAGAACTTCTCTCTATGGCTACTTAATTCTCTGCAATAAATCTGCTTCCTTAATCGTCCCAATCTTTCGTGGAATAGGGGGCCAGGACATGTTGCCGGAACAAAGCATTGGCAATTGCTGTGTGGAGCTGATTTTGGTTGGCCAGTGATGGAGGAACTTATTTATTTCAGACATATAACCAGAGAATAGGAAAATTGGGAAGGAAACTGTGCTATTGAAAGTATTTTTAGAAAATGATATGCAACCTTATTCTTGCATCAGAATATGTCCTAGAGAAGGAAGATGTGATAACCGTTCTTCATATGTTTTAGTCGTCAGTCCCCTAATCATCTTTGTTATTCTTCTCTATACTCTTTCTAGAGTCTCAACATCTTTTTTATATCGTGGTGACCAAAACTGGATGCAGTATTCCAAGTATGACCTTACCAAAGCATTATAAAGTGGTATTAACACTTCATTGACTCAGAAAGAATAAGTGACTAGTGTCTCAAAATGTTAGTGATGACCAACATAGTAGCAAAACATTTTGAAGGACAGATTAGACTGAGGAAAGCAATTGGATGTTGACCAGCTTACTGAAATTTGACAAAAAAATAATAATGATTTTGATGCAGATTAAATGAGTCAAGACCAAAATGGAAATATGCCAGTTATTTATTAGGTGGTAGGGCTGTCTCTCCTGGTCATGTGTACATAAGTAACTAGCAAATATTTTTTTGTTGAACATGGTATGTTTAGTTAAGAGTCCTGGTGTAAAGCTAATGTTCTTGAAAGTATATAAGGCTGGTTGGAGGTTTACAGTTTTAGCTACAAGAATGACATTTTTTAAGGTCTCCCCCACAAAAATTCTGGTTCTGAAGTGGGTAGAGCAGGGGTGAAAAACTTGTGTCATCACAGTGGCGTCACATGATGTATCACAACTTCCCCCCCTTTGCTAAACCAGGTGTGGGTGTGGCCAGCGCATGACATCA